TACATAAATATTCCATGAACCCAAAACAAATTTCCACATTGCCATATGTGACACATACAGTGGATATAATATATATTATAGGAAACAAATGATTTTATAATAAATGACTACATGACAAAAATTATCCAATCGGACATTTTTATCCAATAATAATACTCGGTATAACGTCAAAATACTTAGTCATAAGTGTATAGTTTAATTATTGTTTAGGTACTAGGTAGGTAGACAAGTCACAATTATAGTAGTTAGGCTTTTCGTTTTCAAATGAACTTTTATACAAAATATGATAGTTAAATTTTTTTATTATTATTATGAATGTACGGCTTTCACTGTAAGGGTTATTACTGTTATTAGCAAACGTTATTATAATATAACAGGTATTTTATCATAATATAATGGTATAATATTTCAAATGTTTGATTTGTTAATGATTACAATATTAAAGTCGGTTAAGCAAATTACATTTTGAAATATATAGGATAATTTATGTAATATAATTCATTTTTCAAAAACTAATTTCAGATCCTGAACAAATGTGGTTTTTTTTGTATTGGACGTCACCTTTAGGAGTATTAAAAACAAAAAATTTCTGATCACCAATCTTCAATCTTCAACTGCGAGGTTTGTTTCTGGTAAGAAATTGGAACTAGTCTGTACTCTCGATCAAAAATAAAAGTCCAGTAATTTTCAAAATAATAGTGATAAACCAAAAACAAGAATATTTACGAAAACTTGCTTTCAAAGAAACTGACAAACTGTCCAACAAAATATATTTATATTAGAATTTTCTAGACATGAGACAATTTTTGAAATATAATATTTAATAATAATATAATAATAATAATAATTAGCCAAATATCGAATGGTGGGTCATCATTGGCCAGCTCCATCAATTTACACAAAGGACAAAGGGTTATATTTTAAATAACGGCGTGTGGGACACTAGGACTATGTAATAGGATTAATAGGAACTGAAGAGGAATTGGAACAGCGAAACTCGCGAAGAGGTCAAAGGGACAGGTAAATTCGCACCAAAAATTCACACCTGCAATCATTACGATACGTCGATATTACCTACTTTGATCATATTAATTGTTCCTAGCTGTGTCTATAAATGTAAAAATGTTTTCAGTGAAAATAAAGGAAACGAATTAACACAATATATCATGTTTTATTATAGTCGTAGATGAATTATACTTAAACACACAATTTGAAATGTACTATAGTTAGAATTCCTATGTCCAATCGTGTGGAAGTTTTTCGACATCTAAGATATAAATTTGTTCACTGCTCGATTGAAGGAAATTCTATTGACTTATTCTTAAAATTTCTTCACTGCTGTAATGTCGCAAGGATCTCTTATAAAATCCCAAACAAAGCCACATGTTTGCTACTAAAGTAACTATACATATTATTATAGATTATTGTCAATTTTCACTAGGTATATCGAAACGTTATGTTCAATTAACCATATGACTATGTGGACAATTATAAAATGCAATGTTGAGGTACAGTATTTCATGAAGCTTAAACCCTTTTTTTCTGCTTTCTATATTACTTTAAAGCCTGAACAATTAAGGTTTTAGCTTACATATAAGCTATTAATATAGCTAATAATACGATTAATCTTAATAGGTATATAAAAAGCAGAAAAAGAAAAAATAGCAAAAAATATGTATAAAATTACGTAAGATTATAAAGTTTGGTTGTTTTTAGAAAAGTTAAAATGTTGTTGGAATTTTCATAATCAGGTCCAGGTGCTTCATATAGATGCTATTTAAACTCTTATAATTATTAACACTCATTGATATTTACATTTAAAAAAAAATTTGAAATCATATACCTTCTATACATTGACTGAACAATACGAGTGCGTGCTAAACGAAGGACGTGTACATTTGTTGAAGAAACCATCCACCGACAGCACTTCTGCAGGTGTTTGTATTATTTATGTTTTATACTTAGCACTTTTCCTATGTTAACTGAGAAATTCTCGACTGAGTCACTGGTACTTAAGTCTTGTTGGATTTCCAGGGAGTGAGTGACAGGATAGATTTTTTTTAAGTGGCTTAGAGTGGTTGTGTGTGAATTGTTGCTAGTATATTTTACCACTTCTTTTATCGCGGGGATGTAAGGAATCGTTTTAGACATAGTACAGGGAATGTTGGTGACTTGACGGAGTATTTTTTATTGGGTGATTTAGATCTTTTTAATATTTGATATTTTGGCTGAATGGCTGATATATATACTTTTACTTATTTGATTTATACTACACTTAACGGAATATATTATATAATATTATATAGCGAGAGTCTTGTGTATATTAAAGATATTAAATTCGTCATCGCATTAAAATATTTTTATGATTTTTCACGAATTTCTATTCGTACACATATATAATATTCATTACCTACACATATATTTTTTACAAATAACCACTTGACTACAGTTTAATTATATAGTATTCAATAACCAAAATTTAGAGCTAACTATTTATTTTACTATATTAGTCATCATTACCTATTGTTATTCAAACATATTATTAGAAATAATGACTATTATATCAGTTAACTCATATTTTGAGAATGATTATTACTTAAATTTAGTTATGAATCGTTAAGCTAACTGTAAAAATGTACGATATGTTCATACAATAAATTGTACTCAAATACTAAAGCAAATATAGCACTCAAAAGCTTCTATTTTGGTTTTTATCGATTTATTCTTATTCGTATAATAATTAGTAAGTATTTTTTTTGCATGACACAATATTACCTAACTTTTTATTTGCTTTGTTCTTATTAATATATAATATATAGTAGGTATTGTTGTTATTTATAAGATCCTTATGTTTATAAATAAATGTCTGGTATCTAATTACTGTTTAAAACATACTACAAATTATCTCATCCAATTTCACCTTAAACTATATAACAATTAGATGACTAACTCAATCAATTATACATAAACCACTAACCAGTGGTATGATGAAAGGATAGTTTTGGCAGTTCAGATTTCAAATAATCCTCGAAGTGATAATATCTTAAATAGAGATTTGTAGACAAAAACAAGTCAAAGCTTATATGAAAGTTTAAAATTTTAATTCCAGTGATTTTTGTTATTTAACGGCGATGTATGTTTAATATTAATTTTTTTTTTTAGTTTTAGGAAGACAAAAAATTTTAAGTTAATCTAATATCGGAAATCTAATATATGGGTCTTACCAAAGAACGGTGCTGTCGTATAGGTAACTCCGAGTAAGCGAGATCGGCAAGCAAATATTGTAACTATTCATTATCTATAGCGATAAACGGACAAAGACACGAAACACTATTATATATTTCGTAAACCGACATGTCATGGTATGGCAATATTTAGAAAGTCTTTTCCGTTGTAAAATCTAAAATCGAAACAAATAACAATAAATAAACAGGTGTATGCAAGCATACTACAATATGGACATGAGGCATACAAAATATTTAATTATTGAATTATATGTTCCGGAGCTAGACCCGCCGGAGTCGTCGGACTATAGGCAAGCAATCGTGCATGAGTGCAAACCCACAGAACAATAATCACAGTACGGCACTTGAAATGTTGTGCGACAAGAGTTACAGTAGAACTTCGATTAACCGTCACTGTCGGGACCGGGGCTATGACGGTTAATCGAATAGACGGTTAACGGAAATTTTGCAAAAAAAAACGTGTGCATACATATATGTACACACATTTATAACATATAAATTAATTATTATAACACATATAAATTATAAACATACATACCACACATATTATAAAAAAAAATCTGTAATTTTAGTTTGGTTTTTTGATTCTCTAGCTTTTTTAGCAGCAATATTACGTATTTGACGTAGAAGTAAGACTTGCGTAGCATTTGACAATCGTCTAATCGCCTCATTATTTATTTTTTTCGGCGATGACCGATGACGGATAACAGAGAGT